CCTTGCCGGCATTGCGAGGTGTTACACGGCAAAACCCCCTCGGGGATCCCCCACCTCCGCGGCCTCCTTGTGACCTGTTGCTTGGTCGACATCGACCTCCCGCACCCGGGCAGTTTCACGCCTACAAAGGCCTTTGCGGAGGAGGATGTCAACTCCTCGCAGGCAGCGATGACACCTCCCTCATGCCTGCAGCCACCCTCCACCTCCTGTCACCTCCCGGGCCCGGCTCCCCTTCCCCGCCGCACAAGGAGCGAGGTGGTGTGGGGAGTTAAGCTCAGCTCACCCTGGTACCCCGGGGCTCCGCACCCTCCCAGAAACGCCAAGGTCAGGCAGAACGCTGGGCTATGAGCACCCCAGCCCCAAGGACACCTGGCACAGTCTGCCTGAGGTGCACACAAGGCGGCTCCTCCCATTGTCCTGCCCTGGCCAGGCACGGGAGAGGGAAAGACAGATGGCAGGGTCCAGCCCACTGATGTTTCTCAAGCGCCTATCAGGAATTTCAGAATACAACCTTTGCTCTGGGTTTTTATTACTTGCCCCTTCTGACCGGGGAGAAGGCATGCTGCAGCCTGCATGCAGCTCTGGACTGGGTCTGCTGCTCTGGAGCTTGTGCCAAGGTCCCCGGCAGCTCAGGAGCCAGTGCTGCTCAGCTGCTGAAGCACTTGACTGTCAGTTGTTCGATGTTCCCATTTCCAGCTCCTCATCTTCCTCCTCCGACCAGCTCAAGCTGTCATCTGAGTCCTCCCTTTGCGCTGCCCCAGGCTCCTCTGTGTTGGCAGCCTCCTTCTGCCCACTACGGGACTGCGACCTGCTTTGGGGGAGCTCCAGCCTGGCCCAGGAGCCAGGGCTGGCTTTGCAAAGCATGATCTCCACCTTGGTAGGGACCATGCTCACAAAGCTCTTCTCTATTTCGATGACCTAGAGAGAGGGAAAGGTGCAGTGAGCAGGGCAGGGGAGGGCAGGCAGCACACGCTCATCTTTCCTCTAACGGACAGGGCCCTGCCGGAGGAGAAGAGAGGAGAAATCTCCTCTCCTCATGTGCCCAGGAGACAGAGCAGGATGAAACCTCGGCTTCTGCTGAGCTTCATGGTGTTACGTCTAAACAGCACCGCAGCGCCGGTACTGAGCTATGGGGAGCTCAGCTAGCTGCAGCCACACGCACAGCTGCTGTATAGCCCTCTCCCCACGGCAGTGAGCTTCGCTGAGACACAGGCATACCCACACCCGGCAGCACATACCAGAAACAAAGGCAAGAAATGCACATGCAAATTCCTGAGTCTCACTGCTCCTCCCCAACCAGCAAGCAGCTGAGGAATCGAAGAGCTAGTCTCTCCCCTCACACCGCTGCCTGCCCGCAGGCACAGCAGGATTGCAGGGGGAGACAGGGACCTGCAGGGACAAAGACCCTTTGGGGCAGGCTGGGACCAAAACCAGAACACCTACAGAGCCGGCAGCGACATTCAGCTCTGCTCTTAGTCCAAGATTGATCAGTGCAGCCACCGGCAGCCTCCAATACAGCCCTCCTCACAACCCCTGAGGCATTTCCTAGCAAAAATGGCTATAAATGCTGGTACCTGGGCAACCTGGCCCAGGAGCAAGAGGAAGCACAGGCTGCCTCACAGCATTGCAGCCCAGCCCCATGCGGACTACTGGAATAGGGAAATCGAAGTAAACAGGATCTTACCCCCCAGAGATCCAGTTCTGCCTGGAAAATCTTATTCCCTTCAAAGATGATATGAACCTCAAGCTGAAAGATCAACAGAAAATTACCTGAGTGGGTAGTACGGCACTGCCAGAGCTCTTCCCACAGATAGTGCAGCTGCCTTCCAGCATCCCACATCCTGGCTCCGGTGTAACAGTCTGGTGATGCCTTCAGCACCTGGGAGCATTTCACCCCCTTCAGAGCATGCCAAGTTCACCTCTGCCACCAGTCAAGGGATTCAGGGTCAGCAAAGGCATCCACTGAGGCTGAAAGCCACTGAGCCAGCATGGCCGGGCATATGCTGCTGCAGCAGCAAAGCCACCATGCTATCAGCTCGGGGATGGCAGGTCGGCAGTGCCAACCCCAACTGCAGCAACAGACCAAATAGGCCATCAAAGAGTGCCAAGCACCCAGCCAGCTCCTGGCTGTTGGCTCATCAAAATCAGGCACCATGAAAGCATGTACCCCTAGCCCAGCTCTGCTGGCCCCACTCACCACGGTGCGGTTGGCTTTCACACTGCTGAGGGCAGGTAAGGGGTTCTTGGCATAGACCGTCACCACCACCTGGCTGCTGGTTTGATGCCAGTCCTGCCGGCACGACACTGCCTTCTTCTCCTGCCAGGGAGAGGAACACATCACGCCACGGTGTCTAGCCCAAGCACACCCCAAACAGAGTGAATGTCTGTGCCAGAGGATACTCCTTTGCACATCTCCTTTGCAGAGTGCTGGCCGAGGTTGGCATTGGTTAAGCAAAATCAAACCCTGCCTTTCACGCAGGTTTTTGAGGTGAGGTTGTTCATACAAGGGTAGGCAGCCCCTGCCAGGCTGTCCCATGCAACACGGGGCATCTGTGCTGCGCTTGGGGTTGCTCCAGAAGGACAACTTAAGAACAGAGACATCCCCTTCTTGTTCCAGATTCACTCTGCTCATAGGCACTCTGCACAGTCAGGAAACTCGGTCTGGAGGGCAGTCTGTTTCTGGACATGCATCGTGCCACCATGCTAAATTTGGGAGGCAGATGAGCCCTGATTGGCCATGTTTCACCTTTCTCCCACAGGACCCCCACCTCCTCTGCACCACAGGCAACTTTGGCTCCACCAGGCCTTTCTTAGCATCACCAGGAGACAGACCCCTTGCAGCCCTCAGCATTGTCAGTCAAAGAAATGCCCCAGGAGGAATCCTAGCCTCAAACTCAGGTGACAGAGAATCTGCATCACAACATCACAGTTTATTCACTCTTTTACATCCACTATATGTTTTCTGCTCCAGGACAAGGAACAGACGAGGCTCAGAGGGGGTTGCTCAGAGCAGTGCTGACTCAGAGGAACATGATGCACTTTCAGGGATATCCTGGGCCACTTTGGTGCAACTTTCCCAGCTCAAGCCTGTTTCCAGCCAAAGCTTTCCTGGGGAAACTTACACACACACTATATTGGGAATTGGAATCTCCTCCTCATTGCCCTGCCTCAAGACCATGTCACTATGTAGATCAGGTCCCTCCTGGGAAGCAGTTGCAGAGGGAAAGCTTCATTAAAACCAAATTCAGTCATCTGCAGTCATCTATCAAAACTTCTGGGTTTTTTTTGCAGGGCTTTTCCTATGCTCAGCTGCCTATCCCTGTGCAGCAGCCTGCAGCACTGGCTGCTCCATGCCTGGGGCCAGCTCTTGCCTCATTCAGCTTCCTATTGCACATCTGCCCATTGGGTGCGAGAGCTTACATATTTTGTGAACGCAGGAGCAGCATTTTAAACAGCAGATGGCTGCAGATTAGGCATTCAAACCCTGCACAGTCATCTGCCAGCAATTATGAAAATTAAGATAATTAAATGCAGAAATGCATCTTAATGCAGAGCAAGGGAAGGAGCACTCCTTGGGTGCCAATAACAGCACCTTGCTTACAGGAGTCATCCCCCCGAGAGCCCCCTTACCCCCTTCCCTGTCCAGCAGTGCCACCCCCTGCTGCAGCCTGGCTGCTCCAGGAAGGCGCTGAAGTCCGTTGTTTTGACTCCGCAGCAGCTCCAGTACTTCATCCTGGGGAGAGTGGGGTGATGTGAGCAGGGAGCGCCCATGGGAGGAGGAGAGGGGACCACAGGGGGCTTCAGGGTGGTGGGAGAGAGGGGCTCAGAACCAGCAGCTCCCCCTGCGTATCACCCACAATGGCACCAGCCATGCTGCTGAGGCCACACAACCTTGCAGTGCAGCACTTTCAGCCCTCAGCTGGGTCAGTTTTCTCCCTGGTAAAGGGTTGTTTCTTACCCCTCATGGAAGACAGGAACGCCAGGGTGGAAAGTACAAACCTCTGTGTTGCTCTCCAGGCCCTGGTAGATCTGTGGAGTAAGAAGCAGAGGAAAGTTTTGGATGTACCTCCGGCACAGCCCGGCATGGCACAGCCAAGTGTCCGCCCGTCGGTGCCCATCCCTGTATAGGGCACAGCATGATGCCCAACATCACTCTTTTGTTGCGTTCAGCATCTGTGAGGACTTACTCTGGGACAACGCCTAGCCGGCAGCCCAGCACTGGTCCTTGCTCCCTGCTGGCACGGCAGGCACCCCGGCTTCACCGGGCCTTCAGTGTCATCCCCATGACCCTGGCAGCAGCCCTTCCGTACGCTCTTTCCCAAACACGGCCTGGTCCCAGCCTGGGGCTGTGCAGCACCAGGACGGTGGGCAAGTGTGGACACTGCTGAGACTTGTTCCAAGGTACAAGTGTCCGTTTGTCCATTCTGTCCTTTCCCCTGCTTCCTAGATCATGTCAGTCTTATGTCCTCATCCACATCCCGCCTTTGGGCCAAGATAGAAAGTGGGCTGTGCTGCCTTAATGAAATGCAGGTGGGAATTATTCCATATGCATTTTACCTATATGCCCATATCCTGAATATGTGCTATATTTCATTACAAGCAATTAGCAGCAGTGAAAAGCAAATGTACCACCTATCCAGGAATCTGGAAGCCTCTTGCAGGAATGTGGCTGGGAGGCAACAGAAGCAGCCACTCCAGGGACAGAATGAGCAGGAGCATATGGAGCCGATGGGCACTGCCACCTCCCACCCATCTGGCACCCTGCCCTGCACCCGGTGGCAGCTGGGAGATGAGCCCCCATGCTTGACCTGTGATGCTCCCAGCCACGCAGTACAGACCATGCAAAGATGGGACCCTGCCAAGTACTCACTGCCTTGCAGGCTGCGTTCTTGCAGGTGGTACCAGCTCTCACCTGGGCAGTCGCCTCCCCTGTGAGAGCAATACAGCTTCATCCCGGGCACATGCCACCCGTGCCTGCCTCCAGACCCTCCCCGCAGCCCCACTGCCAGCTCCCCAGCTTAGCATAGATGTCCCGTGAACACAGCCCATTGCAATGTGCCTCCGAGATGCAGCTCTGTGGGTTTGTAGGTGGCTGAGCAGGCAGCATCCACCATCCTGCACTGAACCTGCCATGCAAAACCCCATGCTGAACTTGCCACGTGCAACCCTGCTGCCATCCATCACCTCATCACTACCTGCGCAACTGCCCTCCGGTGCCTCATCCTTGGAGGACAGGTTCAGTTTCTCCAGTGCCTGCTCCAGAGACCTGGATACTTTAATTGGTAGCAGTTGTCTTGGCTCATCAGAGCTGGGAAACAGCAGCAGCAAAGGCCAAGTGGGTTTTTTTTGCAATTTAAGTGTCATTGCCTCTCCTGAAGAAGCAGCAGGGCAGGACACATGCAGAAGCAGCACGGCAGGGTGACACTGTTAGCTGAGCCTGTCTCACCTTGGTCTTTCCCGCTGCATCTTCTCAGCTGATTTTGGTCCTTGGATGATGAGCTCCTCCACTGGTTTGGCCTTCGGCTTGTCTGAGGTCACCTCTTGGCTGAAAGGCTCAGGGAGCTTCTCCTTTCTGTGAAACCCCCTTGTGCATCCCTGAGCAACGGAGGCAAGCCTGATGCCCACCATGCCCTCCCTAACCTAGCAGCTGCTCCCAAACCCTGCGAGTTTCCATACTCTGGTGTCTCTATGTCCCACAGATATGGGCTGTGACCCTGCACTAGGGCAGGGGCTGCATCTGCAGGGATTCCTGGGGACAAGATGGTGTGGCAGCCTCACAGGGGCCATGCCAGACAGGTCTCAGGCCCCTACATTCCTGGGCCTCTGCTGCCTCCTCCCCCCGCCCCACCAAGGACCACTCAGACATTCACAGCTGTGCTGGTGCTTGGGGCATTTGTGTTCATCCTGCAGGATCCTGGTGGGGGATCCCAGCCCCTTCCAACACCCTTCTCCTGGAGTGCCTGCTCTGCACTTTGGGAGCAGCACCCTTGCTTGCAGATAGGAAATTCCCAGCTGGCAGCGCAAAGGGGGCAGCCTTGGCACTGGATGGGGACAGGACAGGACAGGGCAGGGCAGGGGCAAGGCGGATACGACAGAGGAGAAGCGGTTGCATTTGGACTGGTGGGTTGCTCACCTTTATGGAGAGGAACTCGGAGAAGTCTGTTGTACGTTTCTTGCAACAAGACCAGCCCTAGGCACCAGGAGATGACAAATTGGTCAGGTGTGGGCAATCCCACCAGGCACAAGGTCCCTCCCTGTAGCTGCAGCCCTGGCTCCTGCCACGCTCACCTTCAGGGCATCGTGGAAGATGGGGACGCCTGGGTGATACAGGCAGGAATCTGAAAAGGGAAAATCAGACAAAACCTTACCTTTCAGGAGGAGCAATCGTACCCACAAGCCACCCGTGATGCCCAGCAGCTCCTGAGCCAGCTCCTGCCACCGCGGGCTGCCTGCGCTGGGCTCCACTCAGCCCTGCTTGGCAGCTCAGGCTGCAGCATGGCAGCCGAGGCCGCAGACCGGGAAAGTGGCATGTGTTCCTGCTCACCCCAGCGCAAAGCAGATGAGCAGCTCACTTACCCTTGGCATTGTGCTCAGGGTCAAACCTCTGCCCGCAGCCCTTGTTGTAGCACAGCAACGCCATAGCTCGGGAGTACTTGCAGCGTCCTTCACTCCTTCCACAAAAATCCCATCAATCTCATCTCTGCCTGTGATCCCCCCTCCGCTTACCGCAGTTTCCAGCCCAGGCGCTGGGAGGTGGCTTTGCCTATCTTTGGAGGCAGTTGGAGGAGGTGGCTGGTAACCGGAGAGCAGGCTAAAGATGGACATAGCAGCTCGGCAGCTGACAGGACCTGGCACCCCTGTTATCTTGAGAGGCATTTCTGTCCTGCCCCTGCGCTCAGCAGAGGGAATGCGTGCTGCGGGGTGGCTCCGCACCTGGGGTAGGCAGAAGACCTCCCAGCGCCTGCCATCCCACCAGGGATCCAGCATGGGAAGCATTGGTGCCTCCCTAGTGTTCACACTCGGCTTGGGGCAACCTGTGAATCCTCTTGACCAACTGCTCTCAGTTTCTTCAGCATTTACAGAAGCAGCTGAAAGTTTCCTGAAAAAGAAGAGAAGAGACTTTCCAAAGTCTCAGGGCAAAACCTGTGCTGATCTCCCCCAGACCCAAAAGGCATGATCATCTCTAGACAGAGGCACCAGTGGACCAAAGCAGTACACGTGGCCAAGATATCCTTCAATGCAGGGTCTTGTGCAACCCAGAGATGAAATCTCTCCCCTGGAATATCACTGTTGTCACAGAAGAAGAGCGCAAAATGTTACATGGGCCCCCTGTACCCAGGAGGGGTTTGCTCGGGCTTCCTGCTCCCATTCGGGGACCCAAGGGTTTTCCTGTACAAACAGGAAACCCTTTTGAGCTCAAAGGTTTTACTTAGTTCCTACAAGCATCTAAAACAAATACTATTTTTTGTTGTTCCTATTTGCAAAGAGAGTTATCTCCTAGGTGCTGCCCTGACCTGGCGGAGCACACGGCACCTGGAGAGCATTTCTGCTCGGGAACCAGGTTTGACATAAGCCCTTGGAGCTATCAGATAGCACAAAGGGCAGGTCCTGCAGGCAGCAGCTACCCAGGGAGTCTGCTTGGGAGGGGAACCCACACGGTCTGCTCTGGCTGATGTAACCCCATCCCTGTCCCATGATGTTTATTTAACCTAGTTAATCCCACTACAACGGCCTGCAGGATCTGCTGCCATCCCAAGATCTCCAAAGTCCAGAGTTAGGATGCACCCTTGCCGAAATTCTGGAGATCACCAGGGACATAACTCCAGACTCATTTCACACTGCCCTGCTGCTCCACTCCAGCTCAGTTCTGCCATCCCCACCTTGAGATGCACCAGCCAGCAGCAATGTCGGGCTTTTCCTTGTTAGCAAGGAAGACAGATGACAGCCCCACTGGAGTGGGGGATGCGTATCACCATCACCATAAGGCCTCCTTATACCTGGGTAGCCTGTGTATATAGCCACATCTAACCCAAAAGCTAGGAGGGAAACATCAGGGCACTGGGGAACCATCACACAAGCATGAGACATGTGGCTTCAAGCTCATACCTCCCTTGAAGGACTGCAGTGCCTCAAGACACAATAAATGACCCAGTGGTCCTAAAGGTGGGTAAAAAACTGCTGCTGGCAGCCAGAGCCTCTGCTCAGGCAGAAGGGATCACTTGGGACCCAGGAAGCCAGGCAGAGCCCGGTGATGGGGGAATTTGCGGTCTCGGGGGCTGAGCAGAGCTATAAGGTTTCAGATCTCCTTGTCCTTTTCCACGAGCTGTCAGCAAGGCTGCAGCTGTCGCCATCCCCGTGCCAGTGAGAATCTGGAGCTCGGGTTACCTCACACTTCTCGAAGGAAATAGCAGGAGGATGCTGTGGCTGACTCACACTCCCAGGCTCCTTGCAGAGGGACCAGCAGGTAGCTGGGGCGGGGGGGGGCACAGCCAAGCAGAGCCCCCTGAGCACTGGAGGAGCAGCAGCAGGCAGCTGAGAGTATGCAGCGGTGCTGTTCTGCCCTCGCTCCTCTGCTGCACCGCTGCAAATGTCTGCAGGGAACGAGGTGGCTTGAAAGACAGAACTGACTATGAACATAGCACAGTGACATACAGTAAACTGGGGTGTCCACAGATCCCGGCCCAAAGGGAGGCTCCCCAGGGAGGACAAGGTGAGGGTGTGCAGCCTGGGACACAGACATGAGACATCCACCATGAAACAGATGAGCTCCAGGGGAACTGCTCAGTCGGCCACCAGCAGACTCAGGGCCCTGGTAGAGCTGGTGCTTTAAAAATTAGGAAGAAGAGATGAGGTTCAGGTGATGGCAAAGAGCACGCTGGACTGCACATCCATTACGCAGCATCTAGTTTGGAGTTCTGACAGTTGCATTTGGGCCACAGAGCTGCGTTGCTGAGTCTGGCCCTCCTCCAGCACAGAGCTCCAAGTAAAACAGAAGTCACCATGTGAGCTGGCCAAGCAGGGACAGTTGTGATCAACACCTTTGAAGCACCTTGCAAGGAATGGGCCAGCTGAGAATTAAAAATAAAGCCTGTTTGTTTTATGTGCACTTAATTTGATATATAACAGAACAAAAAGAAGGTAGGAAAAAAGGACCAAATGATTCTCAAACCCAACTTAATGTGTTTGCCCTCGAATGATCAGGGTCAATGTAAAACAGCCCCTAGGGAGAACACGCTGGATGCCTCTCAGAAATGATCAGGGTCAATGTAAAACAGCCCCCCCAGAGTCCTAGGGAGAACACGCTGGATGCCTCTCAGCTCACCCCCGACCCTTTAGTCATTCAGGAAGCTCTGTGGAGCCCGGGGTAGCAGGAAGGGAGTGCATTTCTAAAGCATGGAGTACTGCCTCCATACAGAAGGCTGGTTAGGAGAAAGAAAATCCCTATATACATATTACTGCTGTGTATGCCACACAAAGCTAGTAAGCAGGATTCATGTTTTAGTTATGTGGGAAAGAAAATCTTCCCCATAAGAGTGTGTGTTAAACAATTCTACAGCAGAAGTTCTGCCCAGCTGCTCTTCTGACAGCATTGCTCAGGGGTTACGTATCGGCTGTTGTCCAAGAGGTCTGCAGTGATTGTACTCAACAGCTCAGAGAACAGGTTTGAAAGACCAGAAAACCATCAGAAATGGGCATGCAGGCAATCTTCATCTCTCCATTCAAGAACACTGTCCTTCCACAGCTTGGATTATTACAGGGCTATTGCCCCAACACTCCGGTCTCACTGAACAATCACACCTTCAAACCGGAATCAGCTGCCCAGCTGATGGGGATTTTCTCCCTGTAGTTCAGGCAGTGTCTTGCTCCCAGAGGTAATTTTGTCTCATCAGAAGTGAGCTGCTAAAGGACCCCATTTACTCTGGTGCTCACTCTGAAAATGCATGCAATATTCCTCATCAAAAAGTACACTTCGGTGCTCAACAGGAACCAGTCCAAAAAGAAAAAGAGTTCAGTCTGCTCTTCTTAAGACTCAAGTTTTCTTGTCATTAGCTGGCATCCATAATAAAAACCTGCTGTCTGAAACAGCCTGAACTAGTGGGGAGTGTGCGGCTTTACAGGTTTTCCTTTGGAGGGTCCTATTGCCTTAAAGCACAGTCACTGTGAGCCCAGGTAGAGGCAGAGTGGCCAGGCTGTAGTGAGGGCAAGTTTCCCAAAGGCAGTGTTGTGCCTGGCTGAACTCCCTGCTTTCTTCCTCTCCTTTTGGCTACCTCTGGTGACCTACTCAGGTCACTCTCCAGGTAGACAAGCAGGTACCTGAGCCATGACCAAGACAGAAGAGGGAATGATGGCTCCTTTCAGCAAGGCCACAGGAAGTCACATCTACCTTCTTTCAGCTCCCAAAGGTAGCTCACTGGAGAAGTAGTTTAGCATTTTCCACCACTTGTAGCTTTCTGTGATAAATGACAGCTTCTAGTGAGATGCACTGTGCCAGAAAAAAAGGAAATGTTTCTTTACTGCTTTGATGTGACAAATTATCCATGTACCAGTCGGATTTTTCAGATTTATCTTTGATTCTTGCAAATGCAGTCACTGTTGTTTAAGAAGAAGCCACAGAAAGCAGAAGTTGTAACTTATGAAGCCCACAAATGATGGGGGTTTAAAGCTAAGAGCAAAGCGATAAGATCCAGACTGCCCATCAGTCCTTAGTCTGGTATGAACTGATACTGCAGAAGTGCATTTTAAACAAGTTGATCAGATACGACAGCAAAAGGCAAGGATGTCTATTCATGATAGTCAAAGTACTTCATCAGTCTGCAACTACGTAATAGCCAGCAATCCGGAAAAGCATGCAGAGGAAAGCATTCTCTTCTGCACACTGCCTGAACCTCAGCACATCACAACAGTGCTTGTGCAGAGTCCCACCTCTGGAGCTGCACTCGCTACCTTACCCAAGCAGTGCAAGCACCGACAGCAAATCCAAAGTGCTTCAGCAGACTCCAGCACCTGGGGAGTGCAGCAGCCTTGCCTGCTCCTGTGCCCAGCCTTAAATGCTTCTGTACTACAAGCAGTCCCTGGTGCCATTTCCTCCTGCTGCATGCCCCTGATAAACCTTAGTCACGGTTTGCTTTAAAATTTCCATACTAGAATCTCAGTCACAGGTTTTCAGTCTCCTCCTTTAAGGCAAATGAGAATAATTACCTCTAGCATTGACACCAGAGTGTAGCTTTAGTTTTCTTCCTTTGCTGTCACCGGGTCTTCAATTTTCACCTTGTACCAGTCTTGCTCGATGGACTTTGAGCAGTGGTAAATCCCTCCTTCCCCATGACTTTACACACCCTGTTACTACATCCCTTTTCTCCCAGGGAAAGGCAGTAACCAGACCCATCCTTATCTTACACTTGAATAGGACTGAGGCAGTGGCAGCAGAGAACTGCTGAATATTGGCACTCTGCCACTTCCCTAAGGCAGTGACTTCTCTTATGACTGCTCACTAACAAGCAAGCCAGATGAGCAATGGGCAGGAGAATGAGAGACAATACAGACACCTGGGTGCAACTTCACAGTTTCTTCTCCTAACATTTCACACTTTGCAATTAAACAACGTACTTAAACACCCATGGCATTAGTGAATGTCTGCCAGCCATGTTCCAGACACAAGCCACAAGAACAGATGCATCCTCTCCAGAGGGCAACAGAAAAGCTATGAGCATTCTCACCAACTTATTTGAGATTTGGCAATATTTAGCTACTCTAGCAAATGTGCCAGGTGAAAAACATCACCAAACTCTTCATGCTGTACCTACATGTAAGTCACAATCCCCTGATAATCACCATTAAATACCATATCACCTCAGCAAGCCAGCTGCTAGTGCTGATGCTTTCAAATGTGGAAAACAAAACAAGCAAAAGAAACAGCAGCTTCAGCTACAGTCTCTCTTCAATATGGCTTCTTATCAATCACCCCGTTCCAGGCTAATTACAAGCCACCAAATAATAGGGGTAAACCAATAAAACTTCCATACTGATTATTTC